GTGTTATCATCCTCATAGTTTTGTTAATGTTTTTCATGTTGCATGGCATTGTCGAGAGCCATATCCTATGTATTTAAAACCATCTACAAGGAAATACAAGACCCTTGATGCAAATTAGGGGATTATTATGGGGGAAATGTTGCTAGAGAGAGTTCTCACAGTATATATCTTCACTATGAAGAGTATATCTCTTAGTTGTCACTTTGCTTTCTCTCAGGCATTGAAAGGTGTTTTGTATAAAGTGGATACTGAGTCAGGATTTATATGTGCTTGGGTGTGGTTGTTACTATGTTCTCGTTGCACTTTAAAGGTGATCAAGCCTAAGAATACATGGGATCATGGGTATGAGAATCAAAAGTCTTTGCAAGAACATCATATTTTGAGGTGTTTAGTTACTTGGAGAGACACATATAGTCTTGCCAAGTTAGTTAATAGTGTGTTGGGTAACCTTAAGCAATATAATTTGGGAAAATGAACACTAACATCAAACATCTTCTCCTAAGGTCGCATATGACCACTTAACAGAGGATGTGAAAATGTTGGGATAGTCTGGTGACCCCTTATAATTAAGATTCAATAAAAGTTTTAAAGGATAAACACCCGTACACGCGACCTCCCCTCATATCGACCACCTTGTTCTCCAAAACTCACCTAATGGTTGAATTTATTATTTTTTTAGTTCAAAAATTGCACAAGGATCAGAAACACTATTCATCTGTCAAAAAAGTACACATTGGATATTCTTAATGAATGTGAGATGATTGGTTCTATACCCTATTTATTTCCAATGGAACAAAATTACAAACTTGCTTTTAAAACAAAATTACAAACTTGATCGCTAGTTAGTTTTTGTGACTCAACTAAGGCTTCATGTCCATTAGAGATGAAAATATGTCAGACCGATAATAGGGATCTATGGCGTAGTCTACATAGATTTAGGCTACGGTCTAACTTACATAGGTTCAGGATAAACCTAAGTTATTTTATAAGTCTATTTAGTTAAAAAAGACTAGGTCTTAGGCCATAAAAAAGCCTTTTAGGCCTAACAGGTCGGCCTATATAAATAAATATAAATACTTTTTTTATCATTATGTTATGTTTTGTACTTTGAATCAAAATACATAAATAAAACTTGGTTATCTTGGAGAACTTATGAAAATAAGATGAAAACACCTTATGTACAATATTATAAACTGTTTTCACAAACCCTCTTAAACAAATAATTTCACAAAACATATGCTAATTGATAAGTTAAAATAAATCAATACAAACAAAATTGTAGTCTCATTGGTTTTTTAGTTTGTTAGTATATTTAAATATTATTTAAATTGCTTATTTATGTAAGCTAACAGACTAACCAAGCTTTAGAAAATGTCAGATTCAAGTCTAAAAATAAACATATAATAGACTACAGACTAGACTTAGACTTCAATTTTTTTGATAAACTTTATTTAAGTTTGGCAAAACCTTACTCGACCTAATCTATTTTCACCTCTAATGCCTATTGACAAGAATATTATCTAATTATTTAATTAAACTATACCATTATCCAATATCATGAAAAATAAAGAAACAATAACATTTTCTAGATCTTCTAAAGCAAAATATAGAGATATAACACATGCTACTGGTGAAATCATAAGACTAAGAACTTTTTATGTAGTCTTCAAGTTCCATGTCAAGTATCAACAACTTTACATTGTAACAAATAATCAACTTTTCATTTAGAATCAAATCGTGTTTTCCATGAAAAAATTAAATATATTAAAGTTGACTGCCATTTGACTCGATACCATATACAATACGGAGTTATACAAATAATTTTTTGTCTTGTTTTCCCTAACCCATTTTTAGTGTTTAAAGTTTAAATGACTACCTTAATATCAATTAAATTTTGTGTACCGATGAATTCACTTATAACTAATATAACTAATATGTCAAGTTAGATTTTTTATTTTTATTATTTCTATTTTTATTTTTATTTCTCTACGATAATTTTAAGTTTGTAGAAATGGATTTGTTTATTTATTTTGTATTTTGCTACTAAAGAATATTTATATTAGGTTAGTAACAACAACTGAAATAATTATTTTGTTAAAAAACTTTGTGAAGAATAATATGAGAGACAAAATTTTATATGAGTGTTTATATATATTTATTAGTTTTCATGTATTTTGAATATGATTTATCACTATACTTATTAATTTTATAAATATCTATGATATATGCTTTTGTTGAAAGAAAATTTCAAGTGTGGGAAAGTTTTATATTGGTGAGTAATATGGAGACTTGATTATTTATAACTGAGAGAACTCACTCACCTATCAATTTAAAGTTTTAGTTGATTATGTGGCATGTCTTTTATAAAGGTGTGTTGATCTAAAAAGGAAGTCCCAAAGTAGAAATGCTTCTCGCTTGACCCCCTTGAATTGTGCTAACAAATGATATCACGAGTCTTTGATTTTGAGTGAAGGGACCGACTTACTTGTATCAAAAGTACTTTCCATAATTTTCAGATGGTGTTGGGTGAGAGTGAGCTTCCACCTGAGGGAGAACATTGTAGATATTACAAGTATAAGTAGTGTGGAAAAGTCCCATATTAGTTAGGAATATAGAGACTTGAGCATTTAAAAAGACAATTTTTTATTACACCCTTACATATTGGGGCACACCCTTGAAAATTGGTTCGAATATGCATCTCCGAATTCTCTCTGGGTGAATTCGGTGATGCATATTTGAAACACTCATGAACCCATGTACTATGCATTTTCATTGAAATTGACGCAATCGCCAATGATTTTCTACCTATTTTAATCAATATTAGAGTCATAGAAATTGTATCCTCGCATTTCGATCCTTACGTTCCTACGTTTCCGGCCTTTACGGGACCTAACATAAAAAAACTCAATTTTCTAGAAAATCGACTCTAAATCAAAATTTTACCGTGCCAATTCATTAGAAAATATCAGGGATCAAAGTCCTATATTTTGGAACAGAAATATGGGACACCACCCTAAAAACCCCAAATTCCTTGTTTTTCTATTTTATTTGATTTATTTTTCGTTATCATATTTTCGAAAGAATTTGGAAACTGTATAGATATTTAATTTGATTTTTAGTTGTATTTTCAGATTTTTATAATTTTTTAAAATCATTTTTCTATTTTCCAATTGTCTTCCTCAATAGGTAAATGATGGGTATTTACATATTTGTTGCATTATTAATGCATAAATATTAAGTATGTCTATCCGGATACATCGAATACTAAGTTAAAAAAACACAACATAGAATTTTTCGAATATACATATTCGAACATACCCTTTTTCGTAAAAAAAATGTTTATTCGGAGATACATATCTAAATATACCCGTTTTCATTAAAAAAAAGGTTTATTCGGATATGCATCTCCGAATTTAAGTATTTTGTACAAAAATGATGCGTTCAAAAATGTATCTCCGAAAACATGAGTCTTTTTCAGAATTTCTCCAGAGGTTTGAGAGAAAGTATAAGGATACAATGAGAAATTACTTTTATAAGTGGGAGAACTAGGGGTGGTAAAACGGGTCCGGTCCGTTGAACATGTCTGTTTGACCGCACTTTAGTGTGGGGCGGACCAAGGATTTAAGCCCTCACTCTCTATGTGTCCGCCCTGTCCCACTCCGTTTTCTTCGCGGATTTTTATGAACACAGTCATTTACATCTTTTTTTTTGTTGTGTTTTTAAGCTTTAAAGATGCGGTGTTCACGAGCTTTTCCTGCCTCATCCTTACTTGTTTTGTGGGATGGACCTAGATTTTAGGCCCGCATCATTAACTATGTCTGTTCTGCCCTATTTTTTTGTGGAATTTGACGGAACAAATTTAAATGAGATAGACATACCCTTTTGTCACCTTTAAAGAAAATCTACTAAAAAATCACTTTAAAATTTTAGATGAATACTTGATACGTATTTAAAAAAAATATTTTTCACTAAGAAGAAAATCTTCGAAATAGAAATGTTGTTCGCTTTAATCTCTACTTAAAAAATATTGATAATATTTTAACCCCTACTAAAGAAATTTTTTGAATCTGCCACTGAACATAATTAGCAGCTACAAGTTAACATAGTTTATCAAAGTCAATTTACTTAAGCTATAAATTAATTAAGTTTATTTTTTCTTTAGTTGAATTTATTTCTATTTTAATGCATATATTCATTGATCATCTTAAAAGGACACCCCCTATACATCTTTATTCATTAAACAAATACCACTTAATTTTACATTAAGTTTTTATCAATATTATTAAATATATAATATACAATTATATATAGATATTGTATCTTTAACAACTTATACTTCAAAAATACACATACAAAATGTTACATTTAACATTAAAATTTTGATATCAAAGAATCAATTTTCTTGTTTAATATTTTGTATTAGTTTGAATATGAAGTGGATGGTTTATTATAAGTTGCCGTCAGACCCATCTTAATCACCCATGTGGCCTTTAAAAACTAGATTAGGAGACAATCTAGATGGTCTTAAAATTCTATATTCTTCAAGATCAAGGAACTAGCCAACTTACCCTAGCCTTTAGCTCCACCCCACATTTATAATCCATTCATGAATCTTTCATGTTAATCTCTTTTTTCAAGTCTAACAACCAACCCCGTTTACTAGTCAAGGTTAAAGATAAATCCAAGTAATAAAGAAAAACAATTAAAGTCAAACCAAAAATCAACTCCATTAAATAAAGCAACAAAACCAACTCTTGCAAGTCACCTACTTCAATGAAAATCAGCCATCTCAACTCTTACACAAAACTATTTTCTATACCAACTCCAACCACCAACGAAAGCAGCCTCATATATATATATATGTTAAGACCAAAGACATGTCCTTCTCATGGTGACTATATTTGAAAGCAAATTCCAAGAAGCTGACAACGTATCAAACAAAACAAGTATAATTAGTCATAATATATAGATATATGGCTTGTGCATGTTCTTCAATAGCAATGGCAATGAAAGTTTCTCAGTGCTGTATTCTATTTGCAACACTAATATTTACGTTGTTGAACTGCTGTGAGTCAAGTTATGGAGAATTTACGGTTGAGATGAAGCAGATGATTAGCAATAACAACAAAGCGTGTGATGAGATATATGTGGTTCGTGAGGGAGAGACACTTCAAACAATAAGTGAAAAATGTGGAGATTCATTTATTGTTGAAGAGAATCCACATATTCATGATCCAGATGATGTTTTTCCTGGTCTTGTTATCAAGATTAACCCTTTCAACAATAGATAGAACTTGTTTTTTTTTTCTTTTTCAATCATAATTTCTCATGTATTTTAGGATTGGAAGCATACACGTTTGGTTTTTTTAATGATTTGTACATATTGTAAAATAAATTTATAAATAAGGAGTAAAATAAATATGTATATGACTCTCGCATTGCTCGAACTAATAGATGATGATTCCTCGATTGCATTTAATTCCCCTACCAAGTTCTTACAATCATCTTGAATACTTTTGAGTTTCTCTTCTTCAAATTCTCTCTTAATTTTCTTCAATTTTTCTTTTAAGACAGAGATTAAAAACAACTAGACCTTTTCATATGCCTTATTACTTACTATTTGGAAATTACTTATGTCCTCTAAAATTGTTTCTCTAGTGCCATAATCAAATAAGAAATTGTTTATACTCAATTTTTTTGGACTCATACCCTTCTTTTTAATAATAACTAGTGGAATGTATGGGTACTGACGTGAGCCGAATAATTATTACCAGAGATAATTTAAATTTAAGAAAAACGAAAAAATATAAAAGAAATAATTTAAATATAAAATTAATGTTTGTAAATATGTAAACATTTGAAATTTTTAATAAACAAAGATATAGCAAAAATTATTTAAAAAAAATAGTTCTCTTTATTTTTACAGATATAAATTGTCATTTATAAAAATATTTGAATCAATAATATATATTTTTTCAATTATAAAAATATTTTTATTAAAAGTAGATTTTTTTCGTTTATAAAAATATTTATATCGACAATATAATTTTTCTAAACTATAAAAATATTTGTATAAACAATTATTGGAAATGTAATTTATTTAATGTCCACAATTCCCAATACTTACTCTTTATTATGGTCTTTTGGCATTTTCATTCACAATTTAAATCTGCTACCTAGGCTATCAATATTGTATCCCAAAAATTCATTCCTTTATTTGAATATTAAGAAGTAGTCCTCTTTGTTATCATTCATTGTTCATTCTTTATCTCTCCTTCCATTACCTTGCACCAACAATTGGTATCTAGAGCTTTTGGTTCTGTTTTTCCTGGGAAACACGAGTGGTTGTGAGCTGTGTGTTTGAGTTTTGTTCTTTGATTTTCTGTTGAAATCTTGAACAAAATTCTGAACAGAATTTTGATTCTGTGGGTTGGGAAACAGTGTGTTTAAGATCTGAAAATCCGTGCAAGGTTTAAAATGAGTGGAGACGGTAGTTTGAACACTAAACTTCCAATTTTTAATGGCAAAAACTGGAACAGATGGATGATACAAATGCGCGTACTATTCGGTGCACAAGATGTTCTGGATCTGGTTACAGATGGTTATGTACCAGCTGCAGCAGATGCAACTGAAGAACAGAGAACTGCTGAGAGGTTGATGAGAAAGAGGGACCAGAAAGCTCTGTTCTATATCCATCAGTGTGTGGATGAAAATGTGTTCGAGAAGATTGCTGATTCAACAACGTCTAAAGGGGCGTGGGATTTACTGACGAGATGTTACGGTGGTGACGCATCAGTAAAGAAGGTGAAGCTTCAATCCCTACGAAAGCAATATGAGAACCTGAACATGAAGAGCAGTGAGAAAGTTTCTGAATATATCTCCAGAGTGGTTCTGATCACTAACGAGATGAAGGCGTGTGGAGAAACTCTGACTGAACAGGTAATCATAGAGAAGATTCTGAGGTCACTCACTCCTCAGTTTGATTACATTGTTGTTTCTATTGAACATTCTAAAAATCTGGAAACCATGAAAATAGAAGAATTACAAAGCAGCTTAGAAGCACAGGAGTTACGTCTGTCTGAGAGAACTTCTGAGAGAGAAGTTGAGCAAGCTCTGAAGGCTTCTTTTGTCAAGAAAGACCAAAAGCAGAATAGACGTGGTGATAGATTCCAGAAGTCAGAAGCCTCAACTTCTGATGATAAGAAGTATCATAAAGGAAAAGAGAGGTATGACAAAAGGAAGGTTCAATGTTACTCCTGTAAACAATTGGGCCATTTTTCCAGAGATTGTAGGTCAAACAGGGATAGGAAATCAGAAGAAGCATATATGGCTAAAAGAAACTCTGATGATGAACCTGTACTGCTAATGGCCTCTGACTCTGATGGAAAATGCTCAGAAGACTGGTGGTATATGGACACTGGCTGCTCAAATCATTTAACTGGAAACAAACAATGGCTGACAGACTTTGACTCCAGAAGGAGTACAAAGATCAGATGTGCTGACGATAAGTATCTTAATACAGAAGGTATGGGAGATGTCAGAATTAGAGGGAAGAATGGGAAAGACATTCTGATCAAAGACGTCTGGTATGTTTCTGGTATTAGAAGCTGTTGTACCCCAAAATTTGCCCTCCCATATTCTTCAAAGTTTTGACAAGCATCACCTCAAAGGGTTCAAGGTCTACTCAAGGAGTTACACAGTCAACCACTCTCCTAAAGCCAGTCAAATTAGGGTTTTGGTTCTTGCAAGGAAGTTGAGGTTTTCAAGGGCTCAATCAAGTCCCATATGCTCATATACATTGTCAAGCACCTACATGTCAAGCTTCAAGGCTCACAAGGTCAAGTTGCACAGTCAAAAACCCTAATTGCTTCACAATCAACTGCAGGGGCAAAATGGTCATTTGGCAGTCAAAAGTCAAAATTTTTGGTCAACATCTTATTTTGAAGCCACAATCATCATTTGGTCAAATCTTGACCATGATTTCACAAGAATGGCTCAAAAATCATCAAGGTGTCAAAAGTTTCTATTTTTGGACAGCTGAAAAGTCAACTATAACTTGACCAAGGCATAACTTTTTCATGGTTCATCAGAAAAATCCCATCCAATGCTCATTTTGAAGGGGAGGACATTTCCTACAACTCATCTTCACATTCCAAGTCCAAGAAATGCTCTCACAAAAAGTTATCAATTTCAACATTATAGATCATTTTTAAAAGTCAACAAAAAGGCATTTTAAGTCAAAGACCATAACTTGAGATTGGTAAATTCAAATGATATGGGACCAAAGGAATTGGTTAGAGGACTTCAAGACCTTTCCAAAATGTCCCAGAACATGTTCATATGATCAAAATTGAGCAAGATATGCATTGGAGAAGTTGGGAAATTTTTGTGAAATGGCCAAAGTCAACTATCCTTGAAACTTCATTTTTTGACAAAAGGGCCCACTTTTTCCACTTGATTCATCCTTTTCATGCCTCCCACGTGTCCCAAAATTTATTTCAAGATTAAAAATTAATTTTTCCATTTTTATTTAATTTTATTTGATTTAATTCATTTTAAATCTTTAAAATTCAAATAAAAATCAAAAAAATTAATTAAGGGATATTTTGTGGTTTGAATAGCTTTGATACACCATAATTCACATGCCAAATTCGTGTAAGACCTATTTCAAGCATAAAAATTCAAATTTTGACAAGAAAGGCAAGTTTCTTCAATGGAGTTTATGGCAAAATCAAAAACATAATTGCATTGGTTTAAGGCTCATGATATTGATTGATACTCATTCAAAACCTTATATGCAAGCCTTCCATACTTGACACAAGACCGAGAACACTCCAAAACGGCCAAAGCAATTTCAAAATTTCAAGAGAAAAGTCACAAACTGAAAACCATTTTCCAGTACAATTCAATCTTTCCTTTTGATCCAAACACGTTCCTTACATCCCCAGGAACGATTTGCAATCATTAACAAGTCAAAAACCTCAAAGAATTGCTCATCACGCCCCCACGGTTTGTCCATTATTTTGAGAATCGAAACTCCATTTTTACGCATCATTAATTCATTTTGATCATTGTTATGTATTACTGACATCCATACGAAGCTTTCCATATGACTTAATTTGATTATGGTGCCTTAAAACGCAAGATGCCATTGTTGAGTTCTAGGTTTTTCAGAGTTTGTAATTTGGGGTTTTTCACATAGTGTAAAATTAAGCCTCAAGACTTACATGGCCAAACCCAGCAGGATGAGACGAAGCTAAAGCACACCTCGCGCCCAATTTATATTTCACGAGCGTCTAATCGTTATTTTTTACATGCTTGCATTTTGTGGGGGTTTAAAACCCCCGCTATGTGTTTTATGTTTACAGGAAAGGTTGAAGACGAAGGCCGTGGCAGCATGGGATTGGCCAGTTCAAATAAACGCGCGGATTTTTTGATTTCCAGAATAACGTTATTTTTCACATTTAATTTTCTTTGTTTATTATGTGTACAAACTAACGCGCTTGGTGTAGTGGTTGGCCAGGTGCCTTGCAAGCTTTGGGGCCTGGGTTCAATCCCAGGTCCCCACCAAATTTCATATTATTTTTCTTCCTATGCTTGTGTGTAGCGTCTCATCAAATAATCCACCATAGACTCATACATCCAACATGCCAAGTGGCCATCAGTGCAGATCCAAGGGCCAAGAAGTGAGGAGCATCATGCTCAGGAGTCAACAGCGCTCCACTCAATTCCAAAGGTCAACGTGGCTGAAGCTTCAATGGGCCATAATTCCAATCAAACACCCTCAAATTCCAGCCCACACCCCCCTTGGGTTTACTCTTCCCTTTTTTTAATATTTTTTTTGTCATTTTTATTTTTTTTATTTGCCTTATTTTATTTCTTATTAACAAATTAACCAACTAATATTTTTTATAAAAAATCAAAAAAAGAACTAACATCATTATTATTATTATTATTTTATTTTGTAAATAAATATTAAATAATTGAATTAGCTTTAATTAGGCAATTTTAACTTTTTTTAAATAACTAAAATAATTTAGAATTAGGTTAACTTAGAATTTTAATTCTTTTATTTTATTTCATAAAACATAAAAACACAAAAAACATTTTTCTTTTAATAAATTAATTAATTAGTTTAATTATTAGTTATTAATTGCATTTAATTCAAAAAAGACAAAAAAAAATCATTTCTTTTCTTAAAAGGGTCAAAACCCTTAGAACATTCCCGATTAACTTTTATTTGCGCGCGGTTTATTTTGATTATTATGCAATTGCTTTCGAGAATGTAATA